TTGCTTTGCCCCCAGGCCCCCATAATTATTATCGAGGATTTCATATTATCATCCAAAGCAGCTTCAAAAATTATAGATCCAGCCAAAAAATTTTCAAAATTTATTGAAAAATACAAAAGTTACAGCAAAAAAACCATTTTTAATTCTCAACTTCAAGAGCTAATAACTCTACAGGGTGAGCCCGGAGGAAAAAATTTTATATGAACTTGTGACATTATTTTCTCATTATCTATCCATATCCGAGAGATTGCCCACCATTTCCGGGACATCCTGTATAATAGACATATTTATGTAAGCAATTAATTGAAAATTACATTAAAAGCACAAATAAATAAAACATATTTACATCAAGAATTTAATCTTTAAACTTTCATCAAATAAAATTTAGCTAATAAAATTGGATACTTTTATAATTATTCATTTTTATTTATAATTATGAGGATTATAGGATAACACTTTTTGATATTTAAAAAAAAATGATGTTCGATATATCTTTTACTTTATTGAATTCGATACATCCATTGTGTTTATGTGCAGTGCAACTTGTTTTAATTTTCCTACATACGTCTAAGGATAAAATTACTAAAAAAAATAAGAGCAATTATTGAATTGTGAGTGATTTTATCATTATGCAAAAGGTTATTTATTTACTTTCTTAAAATAATTAAATCATGGGGACGGAATTATCATTGTTCAAAAAGGCATGGACTTGATCTTTAAAGACTAGATCCAATTAGAAAACAATGAATTGCTATCTTCTCTTTTGTACCAGGTGTCTAGTTTTTTTTTCATTAATGTTATCTTTCGTAGTATTAAGCCTATTTCTTAATAATACTGAAATTTATGTTTCTATGAACTTGATTTTAAACTTTAGATACAAACAACCATATCCTCTTATTTTTGTTATCTGTTTTTTTTTAGTTCTTGATTTCGTACTAAATTTAGTAGATTCTGGATCATTTATTGCTGTTCGAACCAGAGTAGGTTACTGTTCTTATTTGTTCATTATTATTTGTATTGACAGAGTTCTTTTTACAAGTTATTGGAGGAGATTTATTATCCAATAATTTTGATAGTCACACTCTATTGACGATTATTATCCAGAGATAATTTTAGATTAGATTTTGCAGGCATTGGAATCTTCAGTAACTTATTAAGATCAATATTTGACTTGCGAATATATTCGACTTCCAAATTCTGTATTTGGTATTCTATTTTTTCATTTATTCTTCATTTCAGTATGTTCTTGAAGTTTGAGTTAAAGTCATGTATTTTATTTTTACAATTCCGCTAGTGAAAAATCAGGTGGCTTAAAATAGGTTTAAAACTCGATCTTCTACCATTTGCTATATTTAAGTAATGGAGCAAGCAATCTCTTGTCATTGGTGTTTTTTTTAATTCTTTGGTAACTGAAATTTTTCAATTGCTAAATTAGCACAATCCCTGTGTTACATTAAATGCTGTACTAGATTTTAGTTAATTTTTTTTTACAGATCAAACAATTAACAGACATATTATTGTATTTTTGTATTGGTACAAAATTTCCAAGTCTAATTCTGTACTGTAGGGTCAAAATTGTGAGTATGGTCCTATTTAAGGTTTATTATTCTCACTATCAGTTCTTTCTAATCTTATTTGAACATTTGGGAATAAAAAAAGCTTCCTTTTTTATAGTGACACTAGAAAACTACAAACATAATTTTATTGTCATAGAACCCACGAGAAAGGCTTTTTCACCCCTCAGAGAAATAACATTTTCCTTACTCCTAATTATCCAGGCTCAGTAATATATATTGCAATGCTGCAATTGCTTGAGTTCAACGTCTGTTGCTATTTGTTTTATTTACAAATTGCAAGTAGAATGGTCAATAATACATATTTCTCAAGTTTAATGTTGTGTTTCTTCTGTTTCAGTGCCAACTCAGTATTTGTTAGTGCTCTGTATTTAATTCATCAAACAAATATGATTATTACAACAGTGAAGAGCAAATGTGAATAAATTAATATATATATATATATATTTTGAATTTATCTTGACAAATTATATAAAAATTAATAGT